TTAAAGGAAATAGCAGATGTTGCATGAAGAAAAATTATCTAGTCCTGAGTTCAGAAGACCAGAATTATTGTGTATTATACTGGGCAGTCCTTACCCTAAATGTCATTTGATTTATTTCTAAAATAGGAATAATAATGTAGTTGTGAGGATTAAATAATATCATATGACAAAATTTGATTGCTTTGAAAATGTTAAAATGTTATAAAAATGTAGGTCTTCATTGTTGTGAAGATTTAATTGATGCTTAAAGAAGACTGAAATTGTAACCTCAGTAAGGTGACGGATGTAGGATTAAAAAGGGGGCAGTCTGAATGGCATTTTGAAAAAAGAATTTGATTTTTAAAATTTTACACATTTTTAACTTGGTTATTAGGGAAAAGGGATATTAATCATAGAAATGGGAAAACAGAGGGAAATGAGTTTGGCTTTAAACAAACATTTCAGATGTGAGAAGAACATCGTTAGAAATGTAGAACTGTTGGTGACCCCACTGTGCAGTAGAAGTAAAAACAAACGAAATGTAGGACTGGAGCTTGGGTAGGACATCCCAAATTATGAACTCTGCACAGAAGTGATAGTTGAAGCCTTGGATCAGAATAGGTCACCAATTGACCAGAAAAAAAAAAGGTGAGTATATTAGAACACTGTATTTAGGTGGAAGAAGAACCTGGATAAAGAGAACAATCAGTTAGGAGCAGATCAGTGGAGACAGTGCAGTTCCACAGTATTCAAAAAAGAGGAGAATTTTTTGAGATGGAGACGAACCACATGATTCAGTCTAAATTAGTGAACATGAATATGTTTAGGACCTGGTTGGAATGGTTTGGGGCCTTTATCCAGCCTTGGTGCAGTGGTTGGACACTCGGTTGCTAGTGAGGATCCTAGTGCTGCTGCTGCAGCTTTAGACAGCAGTTAATGAAAGGTTCAAGGACCTAGGCAATAGGGATTTTTGTTCTGTTCTGTTTTTGAGTGGTCCTGAGCAGTTCTTTTGGGCAGGGGATTTGTCTGTGTATGTGCACACATATGTAATCTGAGTGGTTGTATGGCCTTGTCTTAGGTTTTGTTCCGTACATCTTCCATTTGTTCTTTGCATATGCATTTGTGTATATTTTCTGAAAGATTCTCTTCCTGTATTAGGCTTTTTGGCTTGCCTCGCCACTCCAGCTTCGAGAAGGCTGCTTTGCCAGGTTTTCTTCTGGGACTCAGTGTTGCACTTTCGTGGGAGTCTAATAAAGCAGGCTGAATGCTGTGAAATTAAGGATTTCAGTTTAAAAAATGAAATCTGTAGTTTTGTCTCCCTCACGCTAACCCCATCTGACTATGTCTATTGTCACGTTGTCCAAGTGTCAAATTGTCCTCAGAGAAGCGCTGACCAGATAATCGCCGAGGTCTGGCTAACGTGGCCAAGTGACCCCAGCATGAATTAAATACAGGAGATAATCGATACTCTTCTGATATTTTAAGGAAAAGTCTACACAAACAAGGCAATTATCTAAATGTTTCCCAACGTGGTCCTTTAGGATATGAAATATGCGACTTGTTTTTGTTATGAAGTTCCTTATTTCATTTGGAAACTTTAGGAGCAGGATGACTATCTAGATTTCCACCAGGAAGAGCCGCGCAGCAAAGGCAGTCCGGAGGCCACAGCGGCCGCTTCTTGATCCCTGGTGTTGGGGTTCGCTTAATGGAGGCCTGGAATGATGACTACCTCTCGGTTGCGGGGGAGCTGCTGCTTTTACACACACACACACACACACACACACAGCAGCAGCAGCCGCCGCAGCGCAAAATAAAGTACAAAACTCCAAGCCTTTACCTTTCCAAACACATCGACGCGAACCTGTCAGGTTGCGCCCCAGCTCTAACTCCGCAGAGGCAAGCAGAGGAGACTTGGTTACCATGGCCACGTAGGAAGCCTCCAGGACAGCGTTCTTCTTACCCTACGTAAGCACGCAGGTTCCCTAGCTCGGCAATCGGCTAGCCATTCCCGATAGCGTTCGGCGCTCGCTTCTCGGCCCCTGCGCCTGCGTACTACGGCTCCTGCCCGTCGTCGCGGCCCGGATCGGGAAGTGTCAAGCGGGAGTCAGGTTTCCCCGCCTCTGCCGCTGCCACCGCTGAACCCGGACCCTCTACCTAGTACCAGGCCCATCCGTCATGACGAACGGTGAGAGCTGGTGCCCCGAGCGGAGGGTGGGATTGAAGGAAGAGGGGGAAACGTGGCGGGCGGGGCCAGGACTGACGTGGTCGTTCTCCCCGCCCCCTCCCAGCCCGGCACCCCTTGGCCTCTCGGCGCCCCTAATTTCTGTTCCCTGTACCCCTCCACTGATTCCCCCTTCCTGTATCCATCTAGGACCCCCACCCCATCTCCCAGTGCCTTTCGGGCCCACACCTCGAGTTTTCGGTCCCTATCCTTTGCTTTCCCTTTTCTCTTTCCTAGAAGTTCTTTCTGGCCCTTAGGGCTGCCAGTCCCGGTAGAACTACTGCTGTTTAGATCCAGAGAAGAGAGAGGATCCTCCTCCCAGCCCACTATGTTCTCATACTTTCGGACAGTAGGCTTGTTGAAAGGACCAAGAAATCATAGAGAATATCAAATCCCACACTTTTGGGGGTAGGTGAATGTAGACCTCCCAAAAAGTTCTCCTTGTTTTGAAAAAATGCCGGGAAGCCTTTTCTTGTTTGATTCTTAAGTCCTGGCTGGGTGATCCCATCTGGAGCCCCTGGCTAGTGTTGTAAGGGGTGGACTTAGACATTGCCTCTTCTAAAGGATGTGGCAGCTGCCACCCTGTTTATCTGACCCAGTTTTCCAGGTCTCTTCAAACACTTTACAGACATGATTTCCAAACAGATCCTTTAGAGTCAGCCCACAGGGAAGGAGAAGAGAATGCCTTTTAGGCAGTATGATTTGAGGGGCTCAGGAAAGTATTTCTCAAAGGTATGTTGTCCATTGGCCAACAACTGAAGACTTAAATTTCATCTCCTTGTAAATGTTGGCATTGTCTGCAAAAACTTATGGACGAAAAAGAGTAATATGTAAGGGTATAGTTCCTCGAAAGAATTTCGTGTATTAATTTACTGGATTCTTTCTTATGTGACAGTTGTGAGACAGTTTTACTGGAGGAAGAGAGGTAGATAGTGTGGTCTAGAACTAGGAGACACTAGTTATACATAACATTCATTTGGACCTTCCTGGGAAGTCAGAAGTCTCAGGATACTAAACACAGTAAGAGAAGGGACATCACCTAAAGGAAGATTTAATCTAAACCAGGAAATAAGTGAGTAATGTTTTTTTTTGGTTTTTTTTTTTGAGACAGTCTCACTCTGTCGCCCCGGCTAGAGTGTAGAGTGCAGTGGCATCATCGTAGCTCACTGCAACCTCAAACTCCTGGGCTAAAGCGATCCTTCTGCCTCATCCTCCCGAATAGCCGGGACTAAAGACGCGTGCCACGTCACCCAGCTAATTTTTCTATTTTTTTGTAGAGATGGGCCTCTCGCTCTTGCTCAGGCTGGTCTTGAACTCCTGAGCTCAAGCGATCCTCCTGCCTTGGCTTCCCAGAGTGCTAGGATTATAGGCGTGAGCCACCACACCCAACCAAGAGAGCAATCTGACACATAGAAATTGCTGAATAAATTTTAGTCATTCTCCCCACTTCCCCCGTTTTTGTGGTCCAATATCTCCTCTTTTTTTGTGGTTAGTGATTCGTTGTGCTTACCTGTACAAGAAATAGCTTAGTTTACATATGTAAGAAATGGAATTAAGAGCTTAAAGCTTTCCCCTATGTAGAATCCTCAGACTTTTTTTTTTTTACAAGAATCTGTTGTTATTCTGGCAGAAGTTTGGTTTGTAAGTAGAATATCACGCATAAAATGTAAGATAAGTATAGGGAAACTGTAGTCATGTGGATTTTAACTCATGTAGTTTCCATTAAGCTTTATTTTTTGCCTTAACATATTCTTTGCCAACAGATGCAGATTTGACAGATTTGGCTAAATATCTAGTTCTCCTTTATCATGTATCATAAATGATTTATAACAAGAACATGTTTAATTCTCTGTGCTCAGTCTTTAAGGATTCTTATGCCTCTTTCAACCTATTGCCAACACTGGTCATTCCTGGGAAGCTAATTCTATCCACATAAACTGATGCACTCTGCCCAGGATTTCTAGTTTTTTGAATGGTAAGAGTAGGGAGCAGTGAATTTGTTCATCCCTGTTCCCTTCGGGATGTCTACAAGCAATTTTTGGAGAACAATAAAGTAACCTTCTTAGTCCTAGGACCTTGGCTCCCTCTTGACAAGTGTTGGCATTCCCGCTTGAGGTTATTATTTTGTTATCATACCACACTCTGTCCTTCTGAGAATTCTCAGGAGAATTCTCAACCTGTCACAAGCGAAATTCACACCAAAGGTTTTGTTTTCTTCTCTATGTAACAGTGTATTCCTTGGATGGGATTCTGGTATTTGGTTTGCTCTTTGTTTGCACCTGTGCCTACTTCAAGAAAGTACCTCGTCTCAAAACCTGGCTGCTATCAGAGAAGAAGGGTGTTTGGGGTGTGTTTTACAAAGGTAAGGCCATGTCTGGACAGGGAGAGGAGATTGCCATCTCTGGACAGTGTGGTGCTAGAAAGTGGGGGGTGGAATGGTCTGGGATTGTATTTGGTTTCTCTTTTAGAAAAAATCCCTGAGATCAGGTCTAAGAGTCTGCAAAATTAAATAATCATTTTCCAAACTTGAGAGAAGAGATAAATATTAAAGTTTGCTTTTATTTAAAAGCATGATTGTTTATTTTAGCATCCAAGTAATTTTAGTATTCTCCATGGAATAAAAGTATACAAATTAAAAAATTTTAGGCTGGGTTGGAATTCTTCCCTTCAGTGGAAGAAATATTTTCCCACTAAAAATTTTTATGATTGTCTGTAAAGGGTAAGGTTTGATTTAATTGACTCAGATGCTTTTTTACTTTTTATTTTGGGCACATTCATCTGGAATCCTACCTACCTAAACTTTTTTCAAAAAAGGGCAAAATATGGCCAGGAAAATGGCTCACACCTGTAGTCCCAGCTACTCAGGAGGTTGAGGAAAGAGGATCACTTGAGCCCAGGAGTTCGAGGCTGAAATGAGCTATGATCATGCTACTGCATTCCAGCCTTGATGACAGTGTGAGATTCTGTGTCAAAAAAACCCCAAACAAAAATGTTCCCAGGTCCTTGAGACCCTCAATAAGTCTCTGCATCTGTGACTAGAGATTTCAAAATATCACCTTGAAAATGAGGACTTTTGTGAAGACCAGGATGTGATTTCTTTTCTCTTTTTACTTTTGCCTGCTAGCTGCTGTGATTGGAACCAGGCTGCATGCTGCTGTGGCAATTGCTTGTGTTGTAATGGCCTTTTATGTCCTGTTTATAAAATGAATCCCAAAGTATCCAGCTCATCAATTGCCAGCCAAGGGGATGGGGATGAAGAACCTGTTGGAGGCCTGGACCCAGTGTAGGAGAGTTCAGCTAAAATCATCAGGATGACACCACAGTATCTGCCCCTGCCACACGTGAGGAAAACTCCTTATGGTCATGAACATTATATATGTTTCAGGGGACTCTACAAAGCCAACTTCTTTGATCTGTGTGTAAATCAGTCCTTGACAGAGTGCATATAATGTCCAGATAAATTATACCCCTCGGTGATAAGATTACATACCTTCTGCTTAAAAACCTGTCACCTATTTTGTTTTTCAGCCCCTCATCAGGATCTTTTCAAACTGAGGCTCGTTAGGGAAGGGAATAGGCTGTGTTCAGACCTCTTGGGAGGAGAGATAATTTTCAAGACTCGACTTTTTTTTACTGTTTGATTTGGATCTGGCAAATTGGGGAGGGAGTGCTGGGTGGGAAATAGGAGTTATGCAATGCCAAGAAATTGTTTGGCTTTGGGAATTTATCTTTCACATACCCATCTAGGGACATAAGCGACAGACATGGCCCTGTTGCAAAAAGAGAACAGATGAAGTAGCTGTGCTATGTGCTGGTTGTTCAAGAGTTTTGCCAAGAGAATCTGGGCCTACATAAAATTTGTGAATTATCTGTCATGAGACCAGAGAGCAGTGGCTTAGACAAAAAATTTTTGTTTGTCAGTGTCCCCAGAAGGAGACGTCACTCGATCAAACGGTATATGAAAATTAATCAACTCTTACTATTTCCTAAAGTCTTTTTATATTTCCTAAATTACTTCGTGCTAAATACTGTTACTCAATTTGTTATGCCACCACTAATCCCCTCTGGAAAATCATCCGGTTTTTTTTTTTTTACAAGAATCTGTTGTTATTCTGGCAGAAGTTTGGTTTGTAAGTAGAATATCATGCATAAAATGTAAGATAAGTATAGGGAAACTGTAGTCATGTGGATTTTAACTCATGTAGTTTCCATTAAGCTTTATTTTTTGCCTTAACATATTCTTTGCCAACAGATGCAGATTTGACAGATTTGGCTAAATATCTAGTTCTCCTTTATCATGTATCATAAATGATTTATAACAAGAACATGTTTAATTCTCTGTGCTCAGTCTTTAAGGATTCTTATGCCTCTTTCAACCTATTGCCAACACTGGTCATTCCTGGGAAGCTAATTCTATCCACATAAACTGATGCACTCTGCCCAGGATTTCTAGTTTTTTGAATGGTAAGAGTAGGGAGCAGTGAATTTGTTCATCCCTGTTCCCTTCGGGATGTCTACAAGCAATTTTTGGAGAACAATAAAGTAACCTTCTTAGTCCTAGGACCTTGGCTCCCTCTTGACAAGTGTTGGCATTCCCGCTTGAGGTTATTATTTTGTTATCATACCACACTCTGTCCTTCTGAGAATTCTCAGGAGAATTCTCAACCTGTCACAAGCGAAATTCACACCAAAGGTTTTGTTTTCTTCTCTATGTAACAGTGTATTCCTTGGATGGGATTCTGGTATTTGGTTTGCTCTTTGTTTGCACCTGTGCCTACTTCAAGAAAGTACCTCGTCTCAAAACCTGGCTGCTATCAGAGAAGAAGGGTGTTTGGGGTGTGTTTTACAAAGGTAAGGCCATGTCTGGACAGGGAGAGGAGATTGCCATCTCTGGACAGTGTGGTGCTAGAAAGTGGGGGGTGGAATGGTCTGGGATTGTATTTGGTTTCTCTTTTAGAAAAAATCCCTGAGATCAGGTCTAAGAGTCTGCAAAATTAAATAATCATTTTCCAAACTTGAGAGAAGAGATAAATATTAAAGTTTGCTTTTATTTAAAAGCATGATTGTTTATTTTAGCATCCAAGTAATTTTAGTATTCTCCATGGAATAAAAGTATACAAATTAAAAAATTTTAGGCTGGGTTGGAATTCTTCCCTTCAGTGGAAGAAATATTTTCCCACTAAAAATTTTTATGATTGTCTGTAAAGGGTAAGGTTTGATTTAATTGACTCAGATGCTTTTTTACTTTTTATTTTGGGCACATTCATCTGGAATCCTACCTACCTAAACTTTTTTCAAAAAAGGGCAAAATATGGCCAGGAAAATGGCTCACACCTGTAATCCTTGCACTTTGGGAGGCTGAGGTGGGAGGATTGCTTGAGGCCAGGAGTTCGAGACCTCGTCTCTGCAAAAAATTAAAAAATAATAATAATAATTAGCTGGGCATGGTGGCACATGCCCGTAGTCCCAGCTACTCAGGAGGTTGAGGAAAGAGGATCACTTGAGCCCAGGAGTTCGAGGCTGAAATGAGCTATGATCATGCTACTGCATTCCAGCCTTGATGACAGTGTGAGATTCTGTGTCAAAAAAACCCCAAACAAAAATGTTCCCAGGTCCTTGAGACCCTCAATAAGTCTCTGCATCTGTGACTAGAGATTTCAAAATATCACCTTGAAAATGAGGACTTTTGTGAAGACCAGGATGTGATTTCTTTTCTCTTTTTACTTTTGCCTGCTAGCTGCTGTGATTGGAACCAGGCTGCATGCTGCTGTGGCAATTGCTTGTGTTGTAATGGCTTTTTATGTCCTGTTTATAAAATGAATCCCAAAGTATCCAGCTCATCAATTGCCAGCCAAGGGGATGGGGATGAAGAACCTGGTGGAGGCCTGGACCCAGTGTAGGAGAGTTCAGCTAAAATCATCAGGATGACACCACAGTATCTGCCCCTGCCACACGTGAGGAAAACTCCTTATGGTCATGAACATTATATATGTTTCAGGGGACTCTACAAAGCCAACTTCTTTGATCTGTGTGTAAATCAGTCCTTGACAGAGTGCATATAATGTCCAGATAAATTATACCCCTCGGTGATAAGATTACATACCTTCTGCTTAAAAACCTGTCACCTATTTTGTTTTTCAGCCCCTCATCAGGATCTTTTCAAACTGAGGCTCGTTAGGGAAGGGAATAGGCTGTGTTCAGACCTCTTGGGAGGAGAGATAATTTTCAAGACTCGACTTTTTTTTACTGTTTGATTTGGATCTGGCAAATTGGGGAGGGAGTGCTGGGTGGGAAATAGGAGTTATGCAATGCCAAGAAATTGTTTGGCTTTGGGAATTTATCTTTCACATACCCATCTAGGGACATAAGCGACAGACATGGCCCTGTTGCAAAAAGAGAACAGATGAAGTAGCTGTGCTATGTGCTGGTTGTTCAAGAGTTTTGCCAAGAGAATCTGGGCCTACATAAAATTTGTGAATTATCTGTCATGAGACCAGAGAGCAGTGGCTTAGACAAAAAATTTTTGTTTGTCAGTGTCCCCAGAAGGAGACGTCACTCGATCAAACGGTATATGAAAATTAATCAACTCTTACTATTTCCTAAAGTCTTTTTATATTTCCTAAATTACTTCGTGCTAAATACTGTTACTCAATTTGTTATGCCACCACTAAGGGAAAAAGAAACTATTGAAGAAATAATTGTTTAATATATTAATATTTACAGTTAAAGTAGAAGAAATAAATCTAGTATATTGATTCATATACTAGTGAATTCATCTAGTATAAGAATTATAATGTTAAATGGAAGTTTTGTCATGTTCTAAAAGATACAAACTTATTTTTTTGTTTAAGTCTGGGTTGTTATGGCAATTTTTAGTTGATTACTTGTTTTTCTTGGCCAACTCTTAATTTTCTTCATATTGCAGTGCTCTTTAGGTGTCTCTGGAAATTCTGTTTACCGTAAGAACATGAGAAATTCAAATGAGAGAAGTTGTTGATATTCATTAGCATGTTTGGACAGGACAGAGGATCCATGAATAAAATGATAGTGTTTCCTGAAGTAAAGGAAAACAAGAGGTTTGCAGTTTAGATTGAAGGGCTTTGCCATGGAGTAGAGTGACTCCTGAGCAAATCATTTTAGATGATTTAACGTTTGAAGGGAAGACTTCTCCATTCCATCCTCCTTATATCTGCAAAAGGATCAGCTGTTGGATTTATGAAGTCTAGAACTTCTCTATTTTAAAAAAAAGCAGCTCTAAAATTAAATTATTATAAGCAAGCACAGATACAGGTCTTCCAGTTGAATTGTCCATTACAGTAAAACTTAACTGTGGGCAAGTTAACTGTGGTTGACTCCTGTGTGGCAGTAAATTGTCTTTTGTCTGCTTCCTCCAAAAGAAAGCTGCTGGGAAGTTTAGATTCTGAAATTGCAGTCTAGTGCTTTGAGGGTTTCTAAAAGTATAGAAAGTCATCAGTGAACACTACATGTCTAATCATCTCAGAGTTGTGGCTGTTATCTCTTCAGGAATTGGTCCACAGGGTAAATTTCAGTGATTCATGTATTTTCCATTGTCATTTCTGAGGACCTTTCACATGAGACAAAGGAAAGCCAGTGGAACAAGAAAGAAGAGTTACACCTTGTGGGTGTGAGTGTGGGACCTGTTGGTCAAAGGGAATGTCCCTCCCTGGAAATAGGTTCAGCATGTTTTGCACTTGTTATTTTGTAGCTTTAATGACGTTTGTTTTCTAATAGGGTTAATGTCTCTAAGCTTGGTGCTTAGAGTTGCTTCATATTTTAAACTAGTTCCATTCCACAATTCTAGTTCAAACCAATTTTTACAGCCTCCTGGGTGGGTCATCTTGACTTAAACTCTTGAGTTGTTATATTTCGAGATATCATCATACCAGAATGTACCAAAAAGTGCACAGGCGAAGGTAATTTATAGCAGGAAACAAATACACAGCTTATTTCATTTTTTTACTTTATGTAAGCAGATAAGCAGAAACTTGTTTAACTCATTACTTTGGTTGATATTTCATATATTTTCGAGTAAAAATTACAGGAAGTTATTCCGCTGGGGGAGTGTTTTAGGGGTGGAGGAATGGGGATAGCAGTATTGCCTCAGATTCCAACTGGCATCACCATAAACACTATGCCAGGGTGGAATGAAGTCAGCTCCTTTTTATAGTTGAAACACAATTTTTTATTCACCATTGTATGCACAAATCCTTGAAAATAAACTTTCCTTCCCTATGATCTTTGTCCATTTTATTTGTCACGTGCCGAATTTATTGAAATTTTTTCAATACTCCCCAGGGATCTGCCCATAGCATACCTTTTTATTAATAGTTCACATTAGTGAATACCATCATTCCTATTTTCATATATATGAATGAATAGGTTTCGAGGTGTATTAAATAAGGTAGCGCTCCCAATACATTTTATCTATCACTGCTGTTAAAATACAAGTATCTTCTGCTGTGATCATGCAACTACACTCCAGCCTGGATGACAGAGCAAAACTTTGTCTCACAAAAAAAAAAAGAAAAAAAGAAAGAGGGAACTGAGACATTAAAATTGTGATCTCTAACCTGAGAGGAGCTAATTCTACTTACATAATCCCTATTATTTTTCACTCATTCTGGAGTTTGAAAATAAGATGTTTTAATGGACGTGAACATAAATGAAAGTTTCAGCATTATGACTGCCACAGCATCAAATTCTGGGCAGCCAGAGAGGACTGGGATATGCCTTTCCTACCTTTACCCATTTCACAGATATCCTGACTATCTAGTCTTTGGGTTTAAATACTCTGTTTCTCACCTTACCTTTCGGTAAAATCATGTTTGCCTTCGCCCTTAGGAGGAGCTCCTGGGGGAGCCGATGCTCTGCTTGGTAGTGACCGGGGATTGCTGTCTCCATGGGAAAGAAGTCATTGACCTATAAATCTCCTGAAGTTGAACCATCTCATATCCAGAAATGGAATATTTAAAAATTTAAGACCAACAAAAATAAAGTCAAGATCAAAGAAAAGCTGTTGATACAGATTAAATCTGTAGCTTACACAAAGATCGAAAGGCAACCACAATTCTGTGTTGTGGAAATTAGTCCCGCCTCGCCCTGGGGCCCGGGTTCCCCTCCGAGCCGCGCGAGGGCAGCAACGCGCGCCCCGGCGAAGCGCCGCCTGTGCGCGGTGGGTCCTCCCAGAATCCTCCAAGGCGCAGGAGGGGCCGGAGGGTTTAAAAGAGGTTGCGCGCTTCCGCTGCCTACGGGAGGGAGAGCGGCCTGGGGCGAGGTTGTGTGTGCGGTGCTGTGGCGGCGCGTGGAAGGCGCGTGTGGGCCGAGTGTGAGTGGATGCGCGAGCGTGTGCGTGCGCGCGTGGGGCGTGCTAGGCGAGTGTGTGCGCCCGCCCCTGCGCCCCTCCCCCCGCCTACACCTTGATCTTATTTGATCGGGTAGTGGCCCCAGCCCCGCCGGGCAGACCCGAAATGAAAAGCTCTCCTCCTGCGAAGCCCCCTCTTCGGGGCGCTGTGCAGCGAGGCCTCTTGGGCGGCGGCAACGCCGTGGTCTCCGAGGTCCCGGAGCGGGTCCTGCGGGGCCGGCGCTCAGAAGTGATGAATTGATCAGATAGACGAGGCCGGGCTTGTCCCGGGCCGCTGATTATCGAGGCGATTCTGATCTGAGCCCGGCCGCAGGACACGGCCGCCGGTGGCGTGGGGCCAGCATGCTAACGGTCGGCAGCGGGCTGGGGGCGAATGAGCCCTCGCCCTGCCCCCTGGAGCTGGAAGGTGACAGGGGCCTTGTTCACTCCTGCAGTTTTTCTTCCCTAGCTCCCTCTCTGTTTTTCTTTAGGCTCAGCTTCACTTACGATTCGTTGTATGATGTCAGCACTGGAGCTCCTAGGCCTAAAGGCACTATACAGCCTCTACTGCTAAGGGATATCTTAACATACGCCTATGTGTGTGTGCCTATACTCGTAAATGTGTCTATTAAGATAATATGAAGAGCTCGGGACCCCCCCTCCCCCGAGCGTTACTGAGTTAGAACTGGGGAGGCCTAGGAATCTG